CCCGCATGGGTGTGCGCGCGCACGTTAGCACATTGGTGTATACGCCCGCGAGCGCGTATGCGCATATACTTGTATGCACGTATGCATGTATGAGTATATGCTTGTGCGTGTGCTTGAGTCAGGACAAGAAACTTACAATTAATTGAAAACGTGACTTATTTTTCTCATTTTTAGTTGTAGAACGCGAAGCTTTAGAAGATTGTTATCTTGATCTTCCAGAAATCGTTAAAAAAGTTAAGTTGTATTTATTTTCCTCTTGATAGATCAATTGATATGTATTCAGTTATATAGTTTAATGTATCAGTATTCAGTAATTTTCCCTCAAAACTGTTGTCATTTAATGTTAGTAATATCACTAGTTTATCAGTAGTCTTTAGCTTATTCTAGCTCTGAATTATCTAAACACATATGGACACTGAAGGACAATAACAAACCTTTCAAGCTAACGTGGAAAATCATCAAACAATACAAACCGTACAACAACATTACTAAGAAATGTAATTTATGTCTTTCTGAAAAATTCAGGATGATATCTAAAAAGGAACTTTGCAGTCTAAACTAGCGAAATGAGCTAGCAAGTTCATGCAGACCACTTTCATAAATAGCTGCTGGATTAATATTCTTTTGTTTAAATTTAAATCTGCCTTGGTGGCCTCGTTCTCCAGTACAAAATTCAAAAGAATACACTATCTCAAGCGAGGCCACCCTGGCAAATTTAAATTTAAACAAAAGAATATTAATCGGGTAGCCATTTATGAAAGTGGTCTATAGAAGTAGATTCCCCCATTAAGAACTTGGATCAATGTTACTATAAGTAGTGTCGGCCGACATGGCAACCGACATGTTGACCGACATGTTGGTCGACAGTTGGTCGACAGTCGGTCAATAGTCAGTTGACAGTCAGTCGATAGTCGGTCGACATGTCAGTCAATATGTCGACTGATATATGTTTGCCGATAGTCAGTCGACATATCGGTAGACAGTCGGTCAACATTTGGCCGACACTTGGCCGACACTCGGTTGACACTTGGCCGATGCTTCACCGATACTTCACTGACACTTAATCATATACCTGAAAGTTTATGCCTTCAAATCAAATTTTTCTTCAAATCAAGTTTTTCAATACTGACACTGCAACAATACACAACAACATGAGCCACATTCAAACTATATTTACCGATAAAGTTCAGACACTTGACCGATAGACTACCAACACTCGGCTGACAGACCACTGACAGTTGACCGATATTCCACCGACACTTGACCGATATTCCACCGAGACGCGACACTCATCCATCGGTCAACAGTCGGTCGACATATCGACCGACATGTCGACCAACTATCTTCCGACTGTCGACCGACCTGTCAACCGACTGTCGACCGACATGTCGGTCGCCATGTCGGTCGCCATGTCGGCCGACAGTACCTATAGTAAAATTGATCCAAGTACCTCATAATAAAGTGACAATCTGAAATTATACACACCAGTCACATGACTTATATGGAAAAGTAGCGTTGTTTTTATATCTCCTAACAACCATATTCCAGCTTTTATAACCAGCTATTGTAATTTAATGGTCAATCGTTGAAATTACATGATGAGTGTGGTCATAATTTTGACCATACGAAACAGAGCTGTCGTAATAA